TAGTATCTTATCTCCACAGTGAGCATCAGCCCTGTACCTTCTCTGATTTCTAGAATGGACGTTTTCAGGGAGATGGCATGATGCACCTTGGCCAATCAGAAGAGACTTCTGCTGATTAGAGAAGAAGCTAGTAAGACATCCTCCGCCCTTCAGAAGGTCCAGTGGATTTCAGTTTAACTGGAGAATATACGTTTGTAAGGGAGAAGGCATTTTGGTATGGGAAGGGGTGGCCTCTCCAACCAATGTGGAACCAGTATATCACATTCAATCTAGGGCATTCATCATCCAGCGTATGACACATCCTAATCACAGAGGTAATAAAATGTGAAAAAATGATTGTGCTACTTAGGTTCCCTGATAAGGCATACTGTCACACAGCAACACTTAAAACAGTCACGACAGTGTATGTCAGCTGAAAAGCTCAGGGGCTGTCAGGTCACCATTTCAGATTTCATATCTGCAAGGCTTTAAGGAACTCTTGTTCATCATTCCACACTTTCCTACTGTCCCTTCCAGCTCCATGAGGAAGTGAAGCCAGCTCTTTGAGAAGCTCCCTTGAGCAGTGACAGTTCTACTTGCCCATTCTGAATGTTCCTTGGTGCCTGACAAGAACTGTACACGTGCTGGAACTAACTATTGTATCTCCAGTGTGCTTCAAGGCTGACAGAGAGCTACAAGGTAGGTGGGGGATTTAGGGACTCAATGGTTTCATTTAATCAGAGTGTGTGACATTCCCCTGGACCAAGGCTGGAAAACTCCTTAGAAAGATGTAAATCTGCAAAGCATTAGTTGTGCATGCAAATGCATGAATGTGGGGTGTGCACATGTGTACACCTATGCACCTCCAGTGAACATGGGCCAGTCTACTTCATTTACAGATCAGTTTGTTATAAGATAATAAACATTCTGCGTTCTTTCCTTTAGACAGGAGTTCCCTGCATCATCTGCCTTTGGTTTATATCTTTGTAATGTTTGTCTTTCCAGAGCTTGGATTTGTTGCTGGAATATGATTTCTTGATTGAAATGAGCTTGATAATATGATAGATTTCATTCTGTGCTTTTTATTCTCTATCTTACTTAGACTATTGCCTCTGGGGCAAACACCGTGTCTTTTTTTGTCTTATGCAGTCCCAAGAACATCACTGACGCTGAACAAATAAATAGCCAGAGTTGTGAAATGGAGTTGAAAATTTATAGCACAGGCTCATCTATCAAAATTTGGACACCAGAGCACAGAGTCAATTATCATGTATTAACTTGCTGTTGTTGGCGTTTTAATGCATTTAGAAAAGATTCACTTCCTCTTCACACACACAACCTGGAGCACAAGCAAAACTGAGAATACTTCAGACAAAAGTCAGTTTTCTCTTGGACTCCAAAGACTACTGGACACAGTATAACTTCCACTTCTTGATAAAAGATGAAGACATTGAACAGTCTGTCTCACAAACTTCAGTAAAACAACAGTATTTCAAATACGATCTTAGACTTGGAGAACCCTTGTCACACAGATTCTCTTACATGATTTTTACAATCTTGGGATTCAGATCAAGCATCAGCCCACTTTAAAGATGAGCACACTGATATGCAGAAATGTGAAGTGACTTTTTATCAAAGCAAAAGGAAGAAAAGAAAGCAAGAAAGGAGGCAGGTAGAAAAGCAGTGAGAAAAAGGAAAGAAGGGAAGAGAGAGGAGAAAAAGAAGACAGAAAGGAAGTATGAAATCATTTTTCTAGCAGTTAATTCCTCAGCTACATTGGTAACAGCAGCACAGACAAAAATGAATAGTTTTAATATTAACAGTGTAGTAGTGCTGACAGGAACATTCATAGGAAAGTCAGAATTAGTGGCACTGCTAGTTATTACTGCCTTATCTTCCTGTATGAAAGACATCTTCCAGGGTACTCCATATTCAGGATTCCAATTATTCCAGGATAGTTACTACAGATCTCCTTGTATGATAAGGCAGCTGAGAAGTGCCTTTTTTCATATCGTGCAGTGTCTGGGAGACGATCTCTGATCTTCTGACACAAGTGGTCCATTCTGGTTTTCCCCAACTCCCTAGTGTCATTTTGCTTCCAAGTCCGAGCAGTTCTAGTGGGTCTTACTCTGCGTCTGTTCACTTGGGGGGGGGCAGGATTTGGAGAAGGGAACCTAGACTATATGCACAGGGAAAATAAACATCAGAGATCACAAACAGGTATCAAGTGAAAGGGAATCCTACAGCACAAGTCTGGAATCTCTAAGGACCTGGACTGGGCTGGGCTGATCCTCAAAAAGAAACCCAGATGGGACAAGGAAGGTATGGGTTCTGTCTCCTTGTCCCTCTGGTTGACGCCTTTTCTCTGGCTCTTATAACTCTGCCTCTGGGAATCATATCTCAAGTACACACAGAAAGAAGTCTCACCTGTGGGTTAAGACAATGATTTTGATTTTCTCATTGTCAATCTGGATTTAGATCTCCTAGCCTGGGAAGAGCCATCAGGAAACTGAATGTGAGCACAGCACTGTAAATCCTCTGCCTGTAATGAACTCTGCAACCTGCCCTTGGAAAACACAGCCCACCACAGTGGGTTCAAGGGCTCCTCCGCCTTGTCTACCTGGTGGACACTGGCTTTATGATGGCAAGTGTGAAATGATGAGGGCTGAACCTACTATCACCCACTGTACCTACTCATGGAATTCAGAAAGAAAATGAAAACATGGGTTTTAAAGAGTCCCAGAAATCCCCTGTTTTCTCACTTAGTGCATATTACTTGAGTGATAATAAAGATAAAGTACACACAGAGAAATGTTCTGGAGATTACTGATAACAGCTCCAAATGGGGCAGTATAAGCTTGTGCAGAAATGACAACTGAAACCCTAGACTCTGGGTGTGCTGATTTGCAACCGAAAGAAGCACAAACTACACAGTGTTTTCCTGACAGCTGTAGGCTGGGCAGGTGATGGGGATAGTAGTTTTGACCAAACCTCAGGGCTAATCCCTTTTTTAGCTATATAAAGGAGGAAAGGCCGGTGGGGTGTGCGGTGGGGGGTAGAGTAGAGAAGTGGAGCTGTCAGTGTGCTTGATGTTAAATAAAACCTACCAAGATTCAGCTGAGAATTTTAGCAGAATCCAAATGTGCTAGGAAAAAAAAAAAAAGGCATGGCTCCCATCTCTAAGGTTCACAGCTAAGCTGGCTTAGAATCACACATGCCAAGGTTAAAAATAAAAAGCAGCCATCCCTGAATGACACAGACTCTGGGAAGGAAGCCTGAGGTATGCTGTTTGGTGGTGGAGGAAAGAGCAGGAAAGGGGAGCCTGGGTTCCGAGCATAGGTGTTTATTAGAGGCATATTACCTAAAAGCCAGATGCTCGGGATTTTGTTATTTTGCATTTAAAAGGCCCTGCACCCCTGCAGAAGCTCTTATAATGATCTTCAGGTTTTCCATCAAGGAAACCCTGGCATGCATTTGAGTTTGGCCATGGCTGATTGACTTGGGCAGGGCGCTGCTCTCCTGCCTCTGCCTTCCGCACTCTGGCTCGACAGTGTTCTCATACATCTAGACGGGATGCCTGTGAGCCAGAGCACAGAAAGCACAGTGAGCCATCAGCATTGGCACTAGGGGCCACTTATTTCACTCAATAGACATGATGGTGCTAGGGACATCCATTAGCCAGCTATCCGCTGCTTGGTTTCTGCAGATATGTTTGTCCCTTGAGGATAATACATGCCCCTTATAGCCACCGCCACTGCAGGCCAGGGGTAGCTGGCAAAGGTGACAAGTTGGCCCTATAGCCTCACCTTCTTGCAAATCCAGGGCTCTCTGTTATGAATCCAATAGGGTCTCTTTCTAATAAAATTATCCTATGTCCAATATGCTATGACCTCTCCTGTCTAAAGGTTTACTTTCATAAAAATAATAGAATTGGCATCAGCTACTCTGCCAACTACTCTGGCACCCCTCTGCACTTTCATTACTATGCAGATGTTTCTAGAATGTCTTCAAGAGATCAGGGAAATGGTTAAGAATTCTGGGATCCAGGTGTCATGAAAGACCCTGACTCAGCCCATTTGTGGATGTATCCTACAGTTCCGCACCACACAGGGCTTGGAACTTTCACTTTACAGAAGTGTCAGTCTATGCTCAGACACTACCAGCAAGTGCAATGGAGGAGCAGCGAGTCTATATCCGTCTGCCTACCCCTAAGTCCCTGACCAGCCTTCACCTGAGTTGCTCACCTGTACCCCAAATTCCACACCTTGGCTGCTGGTTTGGAAGCACTGCCCAGTGCAGCCCAATGCAAGGTGTCCTGTTCACACCTTTAAAGTGCTTGGGGAAAACCTTGAGAGACAGACAAGGCAAGGACTGTTTGCCTGCCCATTGTGATGGATGAGAAAAGAGGCAGAGAGCCTTAAGGAACTTGCTCAAGCAAGTGACAGAAGGAAGACTAGAATCTAGGATTCTTTCAATTACTCCAAGACCATTAACCCAGAGGCAGAGCAAATGGAGGGAGTCAACTCCATACCTGAGGCGCCCTAAGAGGCCTTCTCATCCAAAGACCTCAGGGGATGGTCTCTCATTACGGGACCTTTCTCAAACAGAGCCCCCGCCCACGGGGGTTTCTTTCCTGACTTCCCCTTCGTCCTTCAGGTGCTCTGAACGCGGGGAACACCTATTTAGGGTCAAGAGATCGTGGTGGTCTTGCAGCTCCGGGGCTAACCTGTTCCACCCATTCTAAATCAGTTGGACAGGGAGCCAGCCCTCCACCTGGAAATCCCCCTTCCTACCAGAGACTCCAGGGACTAGAGGGAACGCCCTTTGCAGTTCCAGAAACCGCGTGCCCGGCTAAACATTAGGAAGTTCTGGGTGAATCTTTCTGGTACATCCCCACATCCTACCCCACCCCTGTGTGTTGAACCCACACAACAGACCTTGGGAAGAGAAAGCGCAGGAGACGGCTCAAAGGAGGTAGCCGACCGGAGCCCCTGGGCGCGCAGTGGAACCCCCCTCCTTACCTGTACCAGTCCAAGCCGCGGCCGTAGTTCCTGTCAAAGAAGTGGGGTTCGGTGCCCAAGGCCCGCACGTCCGGGTGCACGCGGATAAACTCCAGGACGGCCCGGGTGCCCCCCTTTTTCACGCCCACGATGAGGGCCTGGGGCAGCCGCTTGGTCCCCAGCTTCGGGGAGCCAGAGTGGTTGGAAGCCGAGAGGCGGGGGGCGGGCACCGCGGCGGCGGGCGCGCTGGGAGCGCTGGGCTCGCTGGGCGTCGGCCCGGGGGGATCACAGGGGCGGGACTTCTGGAGAAGTTTCTGGCCGCTCGTGCTGGGGCCGCGGAGGCAGCGAGGTGCCCCGAGGAGGCGGCTACGGCCGAGGTCGTCGCAGCAGCACAGGAAGCTGTAACACAGGTAAGTGCAGGAGAGCGAAAGCGTGAAGGCGAAGAGCAGCCTGCGCGCCCTCCGCGGCTGAGGTGGCCCCGCGCGGCCCAGGACCCTATAGGCCATGGCTCCATGGGCCCGCGCCGGGGGTCATGGTTTCCGAGGGGGCACCTGCGGCGGAGCGGCTGTGGCCCTGCGGTCGCCTAGAGGGCTCGCGTGCTGCTGCCCGGGCCGCGCGGGTCGGGCGTAGGGGGCGCTGTCGTCTCCCGGCGCTGCTGGCCCGGGCGCGCACCGTACCCGGGGATCCCGGGGGCGGCTCCTCGAGGAATAGGTGGCTGCGTCCCCAACATCTCCAAGTCCTAGGCGATGGGGCTCCGGGCAGCGGGCGGCTCCTGGCGTTCCACGGGCTCAAGTGCGCCGGCGTCGGAGCGCGCCCAGCGCCGAAGCCCCATTCCTGAAGATCCGAGCGCCGCGCTCAGAAAGATCGGCGGCGGCGGCGGGACTGAGCGGGTGCGGGCGGACCAGACGGTGGCGCTAGCGCCGGCCGCGCTCCGGCTCCGCGGGAAATGCAGAGCGCGGAGAGCTGCTGGCTCTATTTAAGGAGTCGCCTGACGTCAGCCGCGCGGGTCCCCCGAGCCAGCGCCGCGCCCGGGGACCTGGCCCGCCTCCTGCGCCCCCACTCTCTTACTCTTCTCAGGGACCCGTTACCCCCAGGCCTTCCTGCATACATACTGCTCCTGGAAGAACCCTAATCAGCTTGGGCGGCGAGGGAGGCTGTCCAGGAAGACCCTGTAACCTGCCCCACCCCCCCACCCCCCAGGAGACTGGACATTCCTTCCACGCTGGCCTCTCGACACAACGCCCAGGGGTGGAAACACAGGTCGTGACTGCACCAGCATAGACATAGACCTGAGCGCAGACGCTAGCACCCTGCCCTGATGCGCAATCCCACTACGCTGACTCCACAGTCACATACACAGGACACGCAGGCAAACCCAGACACATCCCCACACCTCACAAGGGGTGGGAAGGAGAAACCTCGTAACCTGGATTTACAAAAAAGAAAAAAAAAAAAATAGAGAGAGAGAGACACACCCCCTCTCCCTCTGTCTCTCCAAATGGACCTCACAGTCTGGCTTCGGACCTCGCGCAGTGTGCTCACACACGCCCAGGACTGGGACGCACTTTGTGAATGGGATGGGTGGAGGAACTGAGCGGGAGTGAGATTCCGTGACTAGTCATCGAGCTCCTTGGCCCCCCGCGCGCTGACTCACACCCAGGCGGCTTGCTCTGTCTCACACCCGCGAGGCAGCACCTCCACCCTACTCCCTCTCCACCTCTTCTGGGGCCTGGCTGGAGAGCGAGGACCAGAGTAGCTCGTTCTGCGCCGGGCGGGCTCTTCTTAGCTGTCGCCCCCTAGCGGTAGGACGCTCCCGGGAGCTGTCCAGGGTATCAGAGTATCCTAAGGGTCAGAGTGCTATCCCTAAGGTAGTGGCTCTAACTAAAGGAAACAAAGGACTGAGAAGACTTATAGGGAGCAATTTTAATTTGAATAATTCCTAAGTGACTAGTTATGCGACAGTTCTCAGGGGTCATGCCCAGAAATGTCCCTAAGGGACCACATTAGTACCATATAGTGAATCAGGTTTGAATGACTATGACCAAAAACAGCTGAGTCAGTTCTGGACAATGTTAAATTGCCATGACCAGATATTCCAAAAGCTAGGATCCCCCATAGTATGTCTGGATGACCCTTCCTTCCCCATCCTGCATTCATGCTGCTCCTGACCTTATCATAAGGCTCTGTGGATCGTAACTCAAACCAGGAAATATTCTGTCCCCAAACTAGGCCCATAAATAGGAACCTCAAACCATTTCTTCCACTGTAGGTAATAATAGCTATCAACTTTGTGCCAAGCATTTGGCACATATTAACTCACGTAATACTTACTATAATCTATGAGGTTGTTACCATAATCCCCAAGTCACTTTGCTTTCTTAATTCTAACAGTAGCTAACATTTCTCGGGTGCTTGTTTTATGCCAGTAATTTGTTAATCATTCAATAGCTCTACTTCATTTATCTTTGGAGATAGATATTATTATAATTCATAATTTACAGACAGTGAAAAGGAAGTTTTCTGAACACATACTCAGTAATCAATCAATTAAACCAAGGCAGCTTGGCTCCAAGACTTAAGGTCCTAGCTATGCTGCTGTGAAGCTCCCTTAAACCATTATTCACATGATTCCATCCTAAGCTTCACTCCTGGATGTGAGCTGATTTTTCTAGGTTTCTACTAATGTGTGGCACTTGGATTGAATGAAAAAGTCAGTGACAGAGTGGAAAGTGTAACAGGATCCTCATTTCCCTTCTGTAAGTTCTTTTTCTAATAATGCTGTTGTAGTTAGGGGTTGTGCAGAGAACAATTACAATCAGGATATGGAGCTTATAATATATTTATAATGGTCACTGGGAGTTAACACAAGAAAATGCAGGACATCTATCTGTAACACCAACAACACAGAATATTTAGTCAAGAGCCTAAATCCCACAGCAATGTCCCACATGAGTCCAGATAAAAACCTAGAGCTCATGACAATGCCTCCCAGGAGTCCATCTGGAGGTCCAGAGCCCACAAGAAGGACTCACGCCAGTCTCTTTATGGATCCATGCCAGGAAGGCCCAAAGGTCAGCAGTGGAAGCCAGAAAGCTCATGCCAGCGGGGTGAAGGAGCTGTGCTGGTGGGATGAGGATTCTACGCTGGAGCGGAGAAGTCACACTCACAATAAAAACCAGGGCTGTTCTGAAAGGCACCACAGCCATCCTTGGTGACATGGAGGCCCCAAGCTCCTCTGATGACAAGCACAGTTAGGTACATGCCAGGAAGCAGCATGATGAGTTTATCCTGGAGACCAAGGGGCACATGTCTTCCCCTCCAGAGCCAGGAAGCAATGCTTGATGTGAGGGCCAAAGCTTCTCCAGGAGAACCAGCAGCTCAAACAGCAACTTGTGGGAGAACTCACAATGCCTCAACGCAACAATGCATTAACACCTCAACGCCTCCACATCTCCCTTCTTCTCCACTTATTTATGCTAGCAACTTTCCTCAAGTGGAGCATCTTCTCTCAGTGCAATGCTGATGTAATCCAGCTGGCATTAAGTTGACCACCAGTTCTTAATCCATAACAAAGGCCATCTATGATTCCATTATCTTCTTCATGTAGCCACATCACACTGCCGACATCTCAGGCTTGAAGCCAAGTGACATCTGTGTTTCCTAAAGTGCTGCTGATTAACGTACAGCTGCCCCACACTGTGCTTGAACAGTGGGCTTTTTTGGACCCAACACGAAGGTCCTTACACATTTGACCTGATTAAATTCCATCTTGCCTCATCAGTTCACTGCTCCTATTTTTTCAAATATCTATTTAAATCTCAAGTCGTGATGTAGCTTTCATATATTTAAAAAAGAAAAAGTATAAATATTGTATCCCAGGTGTACTTTGAACAAGTCTGTCACTCTCTCTGAGCCTCAGTTTCTCAAGCTATAAAATAAGGAGTTATGTCTCTGTGGGGTTCTGATGCTGTGTAGTTTTATGATTTCATTATACACAGCATAAACCAATCTTTTGGCATCATGTCATCTCCACATTTGATTACAATTTAATTAATTCTTCACTCAAATTGTTAATAAAAATGTCAAAACAAATATGTTGAAAGAAGTTATAATACATACTTTCAGCATTTTTTCACATCACAAACCTACTATTTCTGCACTCCATTGTTAAAATTACAAGGTTAAATATGGAGTAATCCACTCTGACAGGTGCTTTTTTTTCTTGGAAAAAAGACATGCATACAGTTACGTCTCATAACTCTGAGCTTGGCTCAATTTTTAAATTACTTTTTAATCACTGAATTTACACACTCTGAAATTCCAGGTACATCAGGGCCAGGCAGACTTTCTTTATCCAATTTCCAACAGAGTAATGACCATGACTTGGATGGAATTTTCCAGGAAGTGAGACAATGAACATATTTACTTATCGCTTTTCACTGGTTATCATTTTAAAGATTCTTCTTTGAAAGTGTCATGTTATAACTATGAAACGTTATATGATAGATCAAGTAACACTCATAAACAGGATATACCTTTTTTTTTGTAATCACATCATAGTTCAGTAGGAAACTCAAGACTCGTAGTGAAGCTCCACCAAGTAGGGACCCAGGCTCCTATCTTATTGTTTTACCATGTTTCTTCCTTGCTAAAGTCACTGTGTATTCTAAGATTATTTGTTCATCTCCAACCATCATGTTCATGTTATGGCAACTAGTAAAGAAGAAATGTACAGAAAAAGACATACTATATCCCTTTAGGACATTTCTTGGAAGCTGTCTCTATTATTCCCACATCTGTTCAGTTGATCAAAATGCTGACACAATACTTTCTAGCTTCAAAACATCCTTCAAAATGTAGTCCTGGCTTTGGATAGCTATGCATCTGGCTAAAGTTGGAGGATTTATTACCAAGAGCACTTCTGGAGATCATCTCTGCCATCAAGATGACCCTAAAAGTGAAGCTAACAAAGAGGGAAATGGGATGGAAAGTTGGAGATTCTGATTCTTTGAGCTTCTGAATCTTCTCATGATGGAAGCATTATTCCTAGACTTTTTTCCCTTTAGCTAATTAGTTATCTTTATGTGACTTATAATTGAAAGACCCTTGGCATTTGCAGGAAATAGAGACCATTTTAATAAAAAGTGTTAGAGATGAGTAGTAGTATATTTTATGGATATGCACAGACTAAGACTGGAACTCTTATAAATTTGAGACGATCATGGGGTCCAGCTCCTTTTTTCATTTCCCTTACTTATCTTTGTATCTTATTTATTTTTCCTTCAATTCTTAACTGTCAATTTTTATTTATTTATAAATCAGGAAATGTCACTAATTTTTGGATAACAGAGACTGTTGATTATTATAAGCAAAAAGAGAAATTTTGGATAGCTCATACAGGAAAAGAACTTTCAGATTACTCACAGAATTAAACAGAGAAGGCCAATGGACTTGCTAAAAATAGCAACTACTTTCTCTTCCTCTTTCTCTCCTGAGTCTCCTTTTC